TCAGAAAGACGGTGTGCTATTATTCAGCCCTCCAGCAGAAACACAAGGAGAGGCAGCGATGGGAATTGAACCAGGGACCTAGAGATCTCCACAGTTCAGCGCACACACAGGGGCTACCACCAGATTTGCCGACTGAGCTAAACTGCTCTTGGCAATACCAACATAATGTGTGATGCTAAGGCTATAAAGCCCTGTCCTCACTATCAGATTTTATTTGACATGCGTAAATATGGTCATGATGACATCACATCATGACTGTTATATATGGGCATACAAATGTAACTTTAAAGAGTGTAGTTTGGTGTTTATTGAGCAAAGAAATTTCAGCCCAAGCCTTTCATTCTCGAGTACTTAAATAGAAAGTAAAAATGTGGTATTGTATTCTTTTGAAGAAACACTGTGATACCTACTTGATAATTATATTTATTTCCTACAACAAGTAAACATCAATAGTACAAACATACGGAGAAGGTGGGGAGGGGGGTGTCAGATAAAGGGGAAACAAGTTCCTAGACACTAAATGGTTTCATCTGCCAAAATAATGGAAGCAATGACATTAAATATTAAACATAAATTCTATTAGACTATTAGATAGTGAATTTGTTTATAAAATAGTTCACTTTTTAGAAATTCTATTTCTGCTTTCTAAAACTGTACGTATTTTAGTACGAAAGTCCAAAGGGGACATGGTAAAAAATATATAGCCACACGCCACACACTGTAGCCTACCTACGTATATCACATACGTACATAATAAATTATTTACGTAGTAGTAATAAATTTGTGTAGTACGGTCTAAAGTTTGTTAACGAGGGACAGTGTCAAGCAACATCTACAACGGGTGAAGATTAAACTAGTAGCGTCGCTGAACTACACACTTTAAGCTCATCCAGCTATAGCCATGCAGCTGCATATTTTATAATTTGTCCAGGTCCACAATATTTGAATCTTTTCGCTGATCAAAAATAGCTCTAGAATTTATTTCAGATGCTTCTTTCCTCTCTGATATTGAAATGGTAGACTAATTAAGACATAGGAACAGCAACCTGCTGTGTTTAATTCAACTATAATCGATTTTGATGTACTTCGATTTACATTAAACAATGTTAACAATTACCACACTAGCTGAATGCTGCAACCTCCGATTTAGACGATACCACGCATGTTATGGACAGCTATGTATAAATAATACTTCATTATACGTACATAATAAATTATTACATAGATATTTTTTTTTATTTTCTTTTTAGTAATATTATTGTATAGTGATAACTTTTTTTTAATACTTGTACCTTCTGAAACCTTTTAGCACGGTTCACCTTATTGCAAGTGTTTTTTTTTAATGAAATATGCACTTGTCTCGTTTTTCGAAGAATTGCACTGTGTACATAAAATCATGCCATTTGTTAGTCTCTAAAGTGCCAATCCTGGGACTGGAAATATATTACTCATATTATCAAAAAAGTCTACGATATCTTTCGACCATATTGTGAATTCTTGCCAAACATAATGAATTATTATCATTGATGATTCAGACTGATTATTTTTTTTTTCAATGAATATCAATGCCTGCCATCTATGTCTCGTCTTCGTGGAATTGTCATTCCAGAAGAAAATGTTTTAAAACTGATTTTTAAGCAGTTTAAAGTGCTCTTTAAAAACAGGGTCGTCGGGGCCAGACCATTTTTTTTTCTCAATTACGATATCGTTTTTAAAATAAATATGGACACATATCATCGTCTTCTCATCATCACCATCAACATAATCATCTCATCTTCATTATTATTTCATTTTTGACCTCTGGACCCCTGTAAAATTAGCAACCTATTCTCTAAAAAGCTGGATTGCCCTTCAAACTTACTGTTCTATTACTGTAGATATGCCTACGTCTTTATCACCCAGGGTCCCGATTTATCAAACTGGAAATCAGCGTAAATTCGTCTTAAATCCATTTTTTTGCTTAAGTCAGATTTATCAATATTGCTTAGCTTAAAAACTGCCTAAAATAAAAGTCAATTGTATGCATGCGCCATTTAAGACATCTTAACTTGTTTGACTTAAGACATTTGCTAAGCTGAGATTGATATATCCCAGGCCTGGTAGATCTGTCCATGGAGGTAAATATATATAACTATTTGGTCCGTCTGCCAATAAATAAACCAAAAATTGACTAAAATTACATTGTAATCGGTATAAGGCCTAGAAGAAGCAAACATAGCACTTAATTAAAAAACTTTAAAGTGATAGTAAACTTCATTAATAGAGCATTATTAATTATTTATAAATGCTCCAGGCCGCTCGAAATTCTACAGTATTTACTAACTTGTCGGCCTATTTACAAGTATAATGCATGGCAAGTTGCATCCTGTCTATTCATAACTCATGTTTTATTATTGCATTTGTTTATATATTTCACAATACCCTTCACGTTGTGTGTTACAGCCAGTGGCGTAGAAAAATATTTTTCATTGGGGGGGGATGATTGGCGTGTTAGCCAGTGTCGTAACAGGCGCGGGATGGGGGGCAGGGGGAAAACTGCCCCTCCCCTGATGGTTTTTACCGGGCCGACCAAGCCGTCGTACCGGGCTGGGTAATAAGAGAAAAGAAAGAGGGGAGAGGGAGGGAAAGAGAAAGAAGAGGAAAAGAAAAGGAAAGAAAAAGAGAAGAGAAAAATAAAGACAAGAA